CATTGATGTCCGTGTTGTGTGATCAGTGTACAATTTCATTAGCTGTGTCAGCTCATGCTTGTTTGCCTACCATATTTCTCTGCTGCTTTTCAGATAAACGTCACAGAGTAGTTTACATCAAGGCTGGGGAACCTGTGGGCCCACCAGATGTTCTTGGACTAGCTTCCATCATCTCTGGTCATTGACAGTCCTGGTTGGGCAATCATATCTGGTATATGGTTCCCTAGCCCTAATTTACATAAAATATTAATTCAGTAAGTACTACTAAAACTATGTAATAAAACAGTAAAGACAAGCAGCAGAAGGAGAAACTTTATAGAGAGTCAAATTTCCTCTCAGAGAAGGATATTAAATAAATGGTATGTGTTTTGGTTTTCTTGTTTTGTGAGTGGAATCTTGCCTTCACAATAACTGGTTCAAGGATCGTATTGGGTTCTTGTTATGTACCGTAGGTGGTCCCCACTCCATTGTGTCCCCCCACCACTATCATCGCCTCTGATTCTTCTGCTGTGCTTGCATTGGCCCACCATTGTAGTGTCTATAAACACTTTGCTGAAGCATGACTTGTGATGCTGCGCAGGTGGAGCTGCAGGCATTGCACTTGATGCTGTTCACCCAGAATGGATGAGGCTGTTTATCATAGCTATTAATGGAAGGTGTTTAATCATTTTTGTCTGGAGTAAGTAGCTTATTTTATAATTGGTTGTAGCCGAGTGAATTATTTCTTGCTTAAGAAGCAGGAAGCTAGAAGTATATGACTACTAAGCCTTAGTATTTATTTCTTTGTGCAGGATTGCATCCAGCTAAGTAACTATGGACATGGAATGGTTCTGTGAGCATTCCATGAGTGAAACTTTCCCTCCCTCTGCTCCCCTTGCATATACTCCAGATCTGCTCTGGGGATTCTTCCAACCCTTCGGGGCAGATTAGTGGGTACGGGGAGAAGAAGGAGATAGTTGTTAAATTTCTTCAAATATTACTTCTAAATATTACCTTTATTTTAATCACTTGAGAGAAAGATGACTGGCTGTAGCTTTCAGTAGGTTGGTACCATGTGTTTATGTTTGTGTGCATTTTAAACAAATCAATTATAAATTATATTCTAAATAGTGGCAGGATCATTGCCAACATCATTTACTGGTTATACAAACGACCAATTTTTTTCCAGCTCTGTGAACCATGTCTCCTATGCCTAGAATGGATCTTCTACCTTTTCTGTACCTAAAATAGTTTTAAACCTAACTAAATGCAGCAGAGATCGATTGCACTGGAAAATATTGATGCTATAAATTACAGCAGGTGCGGTTTAGTATATGAGGTGTGGGAAGAAAGAAGGAATCCTAATAGTTTAAATAATTCTGCCATCTCAACGGACATGTTAGTAATTTTGAAAAGGTTAAGCAGAGAATGGCAAGGCATGAGAACACGATAAGTCTTCCATTCCCTTATTAATAAGAAAACCAACATGAGCATTTGGTGAAGACTATATTTATAATGCCTTTTATGTCAGAATAAATGACTTGGAGCATGGTGCAGAATCAAAAGGTGTTTCCATCTCATTGCTACATGTGAGAAGAAATTTGAAAGCAGGGCTGTAAAGAGAATGCCATAGCTGCATTATGTGTAAATCAATCTCGTTGCCGTAGTTGCATTATGTGTAAATTGCATTGAAACAGTTCTTTAGAAGGAAACTAGCATATAGGTGATGATGGTGATGATAAAATCTGGGGTTTGCAACAGCTGATCATGTCATTTCTGTGAAATTTTGCTTGGGTAGTTACTTTTGTTTAAGGATTTTTGAAAAATTAACTGTTGCTCTTGCAGTAGGCCTCTGTTTTTGTGGAAGCTGACTTGTTGATATGGGAAGCAGTTCTGTTCTGCTCAAATAAAGCACGTATACAAAACGACGCTTCCCATACGAACAAGTCAACTTCCACAAAACGGAGCCCTACTGCAAGAGCGACAGTCCCCATCTGACCCGCTGACCCATGCTACTGTACTTAACAGGGAAAAGACAAATTCTTAATACAGAACATCATACTGATTTACTGGCCATGCCTTTAGTAAATCATGGACGGTAAAGCTGTATGATTCCCTGCCATTCTCAAATGGAAACAGTTGAGAAGCATATACTTCTTTCTAAACAGATAACAGCTTGTTGTTTCCTTCATTTACAGTAAAGTTGTTTCTTTGGGGCTTTTCTGTCAGCTCTTGCTTACTTGACAAGGTGATGATGATACAGCTTTCACAGCTTCACCTTTAGTGTGCAGTGAAGGTGAATTGTTTTTAAGAGGGGGAAAACGCTGAATCCCTTAGCACAGCTTCTTGGAGTTGTCTCTCTGTCTTAATGGAAATGGTAGTCACTGTTTCCAAATTCCTTTCTTCTTTCCTTCCCCCTTCCAAAGGCTTTCAAGTGAACAATTTCTATAGATTTATTTGAATACTGCCATTTTTTGAGATTTTTCTTGTGCTGTAAATCACTATGTTGCTGGGCAAAAATAGAGATTTGGAGAGGCACATTTGTACAGGATTTTGTTTGCCATTTCAGCATATCACATTAGTTATCATCTGATGTAAATGAAGCTGTGCTTCTTTCTTCCTCTCATGGTTTCAGTAGGGCACAGGCATGACATATTTGAAAAAGGTTGAAGAGTTTTCTGTATAGCGCACTCTACCAGGTAGTTTGCTGTTTGGCCAGGTACCCAACTCAACAACTGTGTGTCTTCGAGCCAAGTTTGTCACATGTGTAGTAAACACACAGATGTTGTTCTTTGATGGATGAATGGAGTGTACTTGGCAAAAAATCACTTCCTCTGTTTACTATTTGGTAAACAAATAGCTAAAGAAAAAGAGAAGAGTGCAATTAAGCAGATGTTTCAAGTGCTTACATGTATATTACATTTTACCTCATTGGCTGTTTTTAAGAATAGCACTTCAGCTCCTACCATTCCACCCAAGTTGGAGCTAATTCTGTAGAATTAAGCAGCAATCGAAGCAGTGAGGGGAGAAAATGTAACTGCAGACAACCTTCAGCATGATTTAGGATTGGTCCTCAGTTATATTTTGATTTTAAGTTAGATATCCCGTAGCTCATGCTGCAAAAATAATATCCATAATTTAGGGCTCCATGTTGCTATGGATCAGGGATCGCTCCCAACACCACAATCTACCAGCTCTATAGCCATGTTCCCTGCTATTGATAGGAGTCTAATAGGGTGGAAATGCAAATGGAGCTGCAGGCAGAAGCCAGTTTCTGAGTTTCTGTTTGTTTTTCATGTGTAATAAAGGAACTGAGGTGTGTCTGAATAGTAACAGCAACAAATAAAGTTGAAAAATATTATTTGTTACTAAAAAAATTTGCTTTCGGCACTTAATGAACTGATTCTTGTTGTCTAACAAACGTTAGCACTCAAGGCAGTTTAATAAAAATAATAACAATGTTGAAGGCAAGGAAAGTCTGGAGCAGAAGCATGTCCTACAGATCACGCTGGAACATAATTAATGCTGGTGCCAGAAAGAAGCGCTTAGCAACAGCAGTGTGAAGTACAGTAGGAAAACACCTTATTAGCAGCTGCTTCTTTGATTGTTCAGTCATATACTTGGAGGAGACTAAAAAGAGATCTTGCCTAAATTCCTGTCACAACATTGTGCTATCTACTTGCTTAGCCTCCTGGCAAATCAGCTTAATACAATTCATATGCAGTGGTACCTCAGGTTAAGTACTAAATTCATTCCGGAGGTCTGTTCTTAACTTGAAACTGTTCTTAACCCGAAGCACCACTTCAGCAGCTGCGCCGCTGGAGCATGATTTCTGTTCTCATCCTGAAGCAAAGTTCTTAACCTGAGGTAATATTTCTGGGTTAGCGGAGTCTGTTACCTGAAGCGTATATAACCCGAGGTACCACTGTATAAAAGGTAAAGGTAAAGGTACCCCTGCCCGTACGGGCCAGTCTTGACAGACTCTGGGGTTGTGCGCCCATCTCACTCTATAGCGCTGTCCGGAGACACTTCTGGGTCACGTGGCCAGCGTGACAAACCCGCATCTGGCGAGCCAGCGCAGCACACGGAAACGCCGTTTACCTTCCCGCTATAAAGCGGTACCTATTTATCTACTTGCACCCGGGGGTGCTTTCGAACTGCTAGGTTGGCAGGCGCTGGGACCGAGCAGCGGGAGCGCACCCCGCCGCGGGGATTCGAACCGCCGACCTTTCAATTGGCAAGCCCTAGGCGCTGAGGCTTTTACCCACAGCGCCACCCGCGTCCCCACCACTGTACTAGTGTTCTACAAAGTGAAAGCACATTAAAGTAAATGCAGGGCCCCAGTAGCACTGGGTGAATAAAAAATGCCAACCCACACATTTCACCCTGCCTCATACATTTAGCTGGGGGCACCACTGAGCAAGTGACCTTTGTTCGTTCCCTCAGCCTAATAAGCACCTCTGTGAACAGTCCTATCACACACAGTTCCTTCTCCCCCCCCCTTTTTTTTTTTTGAGGGAGAGAGAAGCCAAACAAACTCTGTCTCCATGAGACATTGAAGTGGAACACCTGGGTTACATTGAAGATTATTTTGTGGGGATGAGGTGCCCTTGTACTGTACTGTTTCAGCTTGTACCCCCCCCCCCCAATGAATCAGGCTTATAAGACAAGACAAAGCAATTCCTTTCAACTCTTTAGCGTCCCTCAATATTTGTCCTGCTACAAATTTCCCTCTAAAATATGTGGTAACAACATCTGAACATGACAGAATTCCATCCACAAGCTGTGACTTCTTGCAATAGTTATGTGACTGCAGAGGTACTTAACCTTTGATAAGCCTTTAGCGTTTATATATGGTGCTATTTAGATTTAGTTATTGATTTAATTCCATTTCTGAGTTTGAGTTTCCTAATAAAAGTTTTCTATGGGTGACATGCACAGTGAAGTCAACAAAGTTAAAACAGAACAACTTGATAATCTTACATTGGCAAAACTGTTCCTAATTATTATTTTCCTTTCAGCAACCCACGGTTTCTGATGATTGCTCTAGCCTATGCTATACCATTGGGTGTTTTCTCGGGATGGTCTGGTGTTCTAGACTTGATATTAACCCCAAAGGACATAAGCCAAGTATGTATATGTGTATATTGTTTAGCTTCGCTTATGCATCATAGGCAAAATACTGGTTTTGTTACTGGTAACTGAACTAACCAAGCAGTATGCACTGGAGACTATGTCCTGCTTTTGTAATAAAAGTGTCAATGGGTTGGAGTTGAAATAGATGCTGAAAACATTTGCAGATAACAGAGGCTAAGGAAAAAGGATAACACTGGTGTCTTTTGAAATGTGTGTATTAACATTTATTTATTTTTAAACTAAATCCTGTAGAAATCTAGGAGGGAAATGTTATCAAGTGAAACTGATTGGCAATAGATTTGAGTTAGACAAAAGCAGATATTTAATCAAACATCACAAAATTAATTTATGCTATTTGCTGCCACAAGAAATGGTGACTGTCATTGTCTTAGATGAGTTTGAAAGGGGGATTAGACAAATTAATGGAGAAACGGTCTGTCAAAGGTGACATAGAACTTGTATTCTAGTGGGTATTTGCTTATAGTAAATACTATCTCCGTTACTGTGCTTGAAATAACACAGTGTTGTTCACTCTTAAATCTTTTCTAGGTGGATGCAGGTTGGATTGGATTTTGGTCTATTGTAGGAGGTTGTATTGTTGGCATAGCACTGGCAAGGTAAGTATCACAGTCTTACTTCATTTTATTTTTCTTCATTGCAATTGTCTTTTAGTTATACTGAAACAATACACCTGAAGATCATTTCCTGTCATCTATGACAATTGTAAAAGAAGAAATGCTTTTCTGTGGGGGGGAAATAGGTTCATCTTCTAGCATAGCAATTTGTGTGTTTCATGATCTTTTTAGGCAGTGACTGCTGGAAATTCCATTTGCTCAGTCATCAAACTGAGCAGTTCATATTATTGTGTTTGACAAGTGCTCCCTATCCATTCCATCCAAAGGTGGAAAGAACCACTTAGGTAAAATAATCAAGGAACCATCAGTGGAGTTTTCCTACCTGTTTGCTTTCAGCTCCTCCATTACAGATGTGATGGATTCCTCAACAGAATAGTTAGAGAAATTTGATAGCTCTGATGTCATGTTGAGGTTTTTTGTTTTAGAGAAGAAAAGTAGGGCTTACGAGGTGCAGTTAATTTACAAGTTCTCTGATTTATTAAGTGCTCAGAGATGACAAACCCAAATATTACACTGTGGTCTGATGCTGGTTTGGTATCATATTTTGTTATCCTTACTATTGGGGGGGGGAATTGGTAGAGCATCTAGCTCAGTTGGTAGAGACTCTTAATCTCAGGGTCATGGTTTTGAGCCCTACACTGTGCAAAAGATTCCTGCATTGCTGGGGGTGGACTAGTTGACCCTTGTGGTCCGTTCCAGGTCTACAATCCTCTGATTCTATTATCCCCTTGCCTATAGAGTCTTCTTATAAGGGTTAAGAATTGAGTCTCTTGATGCAACTGGTGCTTCAAATCCACAAGTTCTTTTGAGATGGGGCTGCCTCATGTTATCAGGTCCTGCACCCTGTATAAGGCTTTGTCCTCCCAGCCCTTGTGGAATTGGGCTCCACAAAAATACTTCTATTGCTGTGGAGTTCGAAAATGATTTCGTAGCAGTTACAAAAGACATTAAAAGAGTATTCTGAGACTGAAAGCAAGTTTTATGTTTTAAAAATTAATCTACTACAAAAGGTCAAGATTTTACATAATAGGTCTGAGTCAGCAGATATGCACTAGCATCATCTTATGACTAGAAGAGGATGGCCTTCCAAGCTCAGTTTAAGAGCACAATATAATTTATGAGCAGAAGAAGGAGCTTCCCAGTATTTAAAAGCGTCTATAGAAGCTTGGAAATAGTTTTTAACATGATATAGGAGATTACTGTTATTGAATGGATGCTGGCACATTTTGGGTTGCTGTTCTGTGTCTTAAATCCCATGGCTGTCACGAGTTCTGCTCCCTCACCTCTGGAATCTTTTTAAGCATCTCCTCCTATTCAACAGCCATTGCTTATTTTTACATGTTTCTGGAAACTTAATATAGAAATGAAGGTTAACAGATTTAATTAGAGAGTGAAATCTGTTGCCAAGATTAGATTGGCCATATTTGAACATTAGAAAAATCCTTGGGGGTTTGTGACCAGAATGTATTGTGGTGAGCCTCAGGTTCTTGTATTCTCCCTCCTTCACTCAAAACAGATTTGAAGCTTCCCATACTGGTTTGTAACTGTCCTGCCTCAACAGGTGTGGACTGTGGGTGGGCCCAAGCCCTAGAATCCAAGGAGGCCAAGGCCTCACACACGAGATTGCCAAAGAAGACATACAGAGACAACCAGGGTGATTCACAAGTATTTAGCCTAATTTGAAAACTTAATCCAGTGCCAGGAACAGAGGAGATCCAGTCTAGGCAAAAGAAGTCAAGGAGTCTGGCATTGGGGAGCTTGAAGAGCTGTGCTTTTCTTCAGCAACTGTGAAGCTCAAAGAAGGGGCTGAGTCTGGCCTACCAGGCTGAGCCCAATCCCAGGAATACCTTTACTCCTAAAAGGGGGTTTACTCTTGAGTTGCTCTGTGACTTTTGGGCACCTACTTAGTTGTGCACCTGTTGTCTGGACTTGAATATTTAGGCACCTGTACTCAAGCACCTCCGGGTGCAAGTAGATAAATAGGGACCGCTTACTGGCGGGAAGGTAAACGGCATTTCCGTGTGCTGCGCTGGCTCGCCAGATGCGGCTTTGTCACGCTGGCCACGTGACCCGGAAGTGTCTCCGGACAGCGCTGGCCCCCGGCCTCTTAAGTGAGATGGGCGCACAACCCTAGAGTCTGTCAAGACTGGCCCGTACGGGCAGGGGTACCTTTACCTTACCTTTACTCAAGGTGAGGATGGATATCTCAGCCTCTCCCTCAGACTCTACTAGGGGTTTATGGCACTCTGATCCTAAGGGCCCCTCAACAGGATTCTGTAGAGGCTCCCTTTCAATTCTAAGGATCTTCAGTACTGACGGAAGGAAATCTCATCTGCTTCTCCTAGTCTTCAGATAGCTGGAGGTCCAGTTTGTCCCCTGTGGATTCTGTTTTCTGGATTGGGGTTGGGCATAACAATAACAAACTTCAGTTTCTTGCTTCATCTGAGCTACTTATTTATTGGATTTATATACCATCTGTCATCAAAGGATCTCAGGGGGGTTCACAACATAAAAAGGCAGCATTCTAACACAAGTAGCTTAAAGGCTGTGGAGTATTAATCAGCCAAAGGCCTGGTTGAAGAGGAACGTTTTCACCTGGCTCCTAAAGATGAAGGTGCTCTTAAATTGGCAAACCATTTTCTAGTCTTAAGATGACTAGTGCAGATATGCTGACTTCATGTAAATCCTGACCTTTTGTGATAGATTGATTTGTTAAATATGTAGCCTGGTTTCAACCTTATAATATCCTTTTAATGTCTACTGTAGCTGCTACGAAATTGGTTGCAAATTCCATAGCAATGTAAATATTCTGTGGACCCCAGTGCTGCCTCCTTCAGCCTAATCATTTCTACTTTTTCAGAAAAAGCTAACTGACTGTTGCCAGATATCTCTTTCTGATTAAGTAGCTTTATAGTTTCAAACATAGGGTTTTGGGCACACAAGGAGTGGCAGTTTGCCACTTTTGATGGATGGCCCCTTTTAGGCCTACTCAGCAGTTATCTATGTACAGTTGAATCAATGTCTGTGCTGACTATAATTTGCTGAAAGTTGTAATTAGGAAAATTAGCTAATGATTCTTGTCAAGTGTGACAGGCTCATGTATTTCAAAGTCAGTCCTGTGACTTACCAGGCAGGCAGCCTGGTACCTATTGTAATAGCTCAGTGTGGGGGTGCTTTGTGTTCTACCAGCTGCTAATTTTCTTACATCAAGCGTTTCCTTTTAGGAACTATAGTGTAGCTTTGCTTCCTCCTAGTCTCTCAGTTCCTCCTTTCATCACACTTAAATCTCAATATAATTTCACTCTGCTTATGAACACTATTTACCTGCTATATGGAATATGTAAAAGAAACTATATCAAAGTGTCCTTCCCATTTTCGATGATGCACAAGCTGTCATTTGGATGCCAAACTATCTCTGCATGCTGTAGAAATGTTTTTGCGGGTGTTAACAGAATCATGCCTGTCAAAGGAAGGCACAGTTGGAAAATAAGTTCACAAATTTCATTATTTTGTTACCCGTAGTGTACCGTGTCTTCCTTCACATGAGATTTATGCCCTTGATCTTGCCACTCCAAGCACCAGACCAGGAGCGTTGAGATAATTTATATGGCATGTTTATGATTGAAGAGCCTTCAATATTTTAGGCAGCTGGCGGGTATTGCACCCTTTCCTTAGCAGTGATAGACTAGACTGGTGGTGGGGGAAGGGGAGAAAAATCAACTTCAAACAGTGACAATCTCATGTTTTTGTTTTTTTAAAATCTGCAGAGCAACACAAATCAACCTCTCCCCCCCCCTGACATTTTTCTTGTTGCATTCACTAATGATAAGAGATATTTTTCAGATTTTGTCCTTCACAGCTCAGAATTTCCTTCATCTTTTAAACAGCAGCAAAGTCAAAATGCAGCAACTTTGTAGCATGGTGTAATTTCAGTAGCAATGAGCAGCAGAGTTGACAGCAGCAAATTATTACTCGTAACTATAGGTGGAAGACAGAAGTGCCTGGCATGCTCTGGTCCATGGGGTCACGAAGAGTCGGACACACGAAACAACAACAATAGGAGGCACATAATGCGAATTTTTTGGATAATAAAATCTGGGCCAAGCAGATCTGGGGAGCAGTAGACTTTTTGGTGGGAGGGGACGTATCTTTGTGGCAGGAAGCATTTATCTCCTGCTTTTCTATCTTTATCGCTCCTCTGTATTTAACATGGAACTAGGTGCTTTGTCACAATTATACCAACAAAACAATGGAGAGGGATGGGAGAATGAGCAGCAGTGATGGGAAGCACATTGTCGGTGGAGACTGGACTAGGAGTTGGCAGCAGTAGCTGTTAATAAGAACATCTGTATAGGCACTATATCGCTGAGTGCTATGTGCAGAGGAGAAAAATATTGGAATTATTTTTCCTTCATGTCTGATTTATAGGTGTGTGACTGGCCACTGTTAACAACAGAATGGGGGATTTGTTTGACCAGCAAAGTAGTTCCTAGTGCCAATCTAGGCCTGTGTGAAAATATTAATAAGTAGAGTGCAAGGTATTTTGACACACAGGAATGGGAAGATTCTTCTCAGTATATGAATGATCCTTTGGTTCATGGAAACCCTTGGATCCAACCCACTGATTTCTTTAGTGATAATATGTGGAAAATAGTAAGTTTCAAATCAGAGGAAATCTTACATGTATTGGTTTCCGGTATTAAAAGAGCATAAAGTTGAGGCAGGTTTATGATAATGTTTTGTCTTCAGTTTCATAATGTAGCTGTCTATTATGATCCAGTGTGTTTCAGATTGTAAAACTCTTCTGTTAGAGGCAAGTATAAAGACAAAACCTCTTTTACAGATCAATTTTGAACAAGGTACTTATCTTAGAAACATACTGCTGCCACTTATTCATAAGAAGTATTTGCTTCTTTTGGTGTTTTACCTTCCTTAAACTTCAATATATCATATTAGAATACAGTGGTACCTCGGGTTACATACGCTTCAAGTTACATACGCTTCAGGTTACACACTCCACTAAGCCCGAAATGGTCTTCAGGTTAAGAACTTTGCTTCAGGATAAGAACAGAAATCGGGCTCCGGCGGCGCGGCGGCAGCAGGAGGCCCCATTAGTTAAAGTGGTGCTTCAGGTTAAGAACAGTTTCAGGTTAAGTACGGACCTCCGGAACGAATTAAGTACATAACCCGAGGTACCACTGTATTTCAAATTGTTGTAGCAATTTGGCTAAAGTTTACAGAATTTGTGAAGGGTTTGTTAATTGTGATTTGTGTTCCTTTCAGGTTTGCCGATTTTATCCGAGGAATGCTGAAACTTATACTGCTTCTGTTATTGTCAGGAGCAACTTTGTCATCCATCTGGTTCACTTTGACGTGTTTAACAACTGTCAGTCATCTTCCTTTAACTACAGGTATGCTAATGCCCAGCCTTGTCAAGTAAATGGTTTTGGTAGCGGTTCTTAGATATGTGAGATGTTGGAAAAATAAGTTATATTGCAGATTAATTTTCAATAAACTGTTTTAATTCTGTGGTGCTGCTGGGCAGGGGAGATTGGCATACATTGTGGGATTTTTATTTTATTTTTTTGGTCACTTCTGAACCCCCAGTGCTACAATGTAACTCAAGCCACTTTGTAATGTATAATGAAACAGAGGAGACAGCTGTCAGAATTGACAGTGTAAGACCAATTCACATATGCAAGACTGGACTCTTGAAATCTTCACGTCCCTTGACTGAAGTCATTATGTCCATTGATTTCAGTGAGTCTACTCTGAGTGTGACGTATTCAGATACAACCCATACATTAAGCTGGAAGAACTCCCTGTGTCGCCATAAACAAGTTAAAGTAAAAGAAAAGGCAGTAAGAAACTGTAATTTTATTTAGTGATATAAAGCCAACAAGGGGAATTTTGAAGTTCATTAAACTGACGTGTCTTTGACAAGGTTTTCAAGACTCCTTAGCTGGCTGTAAACATTGGTTAAAACAAGTGAGTAATTCTAACCTTTTAGCCCGACCTGCTTGGAATTCCAGTGGATAATAGTGTGTTTTGTGGTTACTTATCTGGGAACACAAGTATGTAGGGAAATAATAAGCTTGTAATACGTCCAACTAATTAACTTGCCATTTCCCCTTTACTTGTTTTGTTACACCCTCTTTGTATATTACAATGGGTATTATGTACGAAGCACAGGTTGTCCATAGTAATGTTAAGAAAGACAAAAAGTATATGTAGTTATTTAGTTTTGAACTAGACTGGGCAAGCATTTCTGAAATTTCTTTGTTTTGATATCCTAGGCTCCCCCTACCCTACCCTACCCATCTCTTCACCCCACTTTTTTTTTTGCAGATGTTGGGTGGGTTCTCATACCTTCTTGTATCTATATCTTGCAGAGATGCTTGAACTGAAATCCCGGATAGAAATTCAGTATATCTGTATAGTAACTAAACTTCACACCACAAATATATATCGTCTAATGATATTAGACAAATGCTTGGAGTATAAGGCTGTCAGCGGCTACTAACTGTGATGGCCGTATACTACATGCAAGATCAGAGATGGCATGCTTCTGAATATCATTTGTTGCGGAATAGCAGCAGGAGAGTTCTCCCAGGCTCAGGACATCCTTGTGGGCTTCCTAAAGACACCTGATTGATCAGGTGGGAAAACAGGATACTGAACTGGGCATTCCTTTCATCTGATCCAGTCAGGCTCTCCTTTTGTTCATATTCGTACAGTTGGTAAGGTTGTTGTACTTGGGGAGGAGGTGTTAGTGAAAGAAGCTGTGCCATGTTGTATTGCTGCATTTTCTGTTGTGCTCTCTTTTTCTTCCTCATCATTGTTTTTAAACTAGTCTTCCGCTTTTGTGGCTTAGTCGCTGCTCATTTCTGTTTGCTTGTTTTCCTTCACTGATTCTCAGTCCCTATCCCACTGGAGCTCACATTTGTTCCCATTCAGTTTACTGAAACATGAAGTCGCTTTATTGGACTTAAGAGCTGATAATCCTTAAGATGGGTAACTGGGAGTTTATGACTTGGTAGCCTCTGCCTGAAGCTTTGTGCAAATCCATTCATCCATTTAAAACATCAGCTTCTGTTCTCCTGTTTGGAAGCTTTTTCTTCTAAAAGAGAAGGCTTAGAAGATTTTAATTTAAACTGAGAGGTGCCACTACCTGAATGTGTTTTAGAAGTTGCACATATGCTTAAATCAGATCTGAGAGGATTGGAGAGGCTTGAAACTATCTTAATAAACCTTGGAAGACAAGTCTTTGGTTTGATGCTGTACTCTCTGTTCTGGAGAGGAGCATTGCTGGTTTGAAGCTGATGTGCTACACCTGCTGTAACTTCTGTAGCCACAGAAATTGCCTTCCCCCAGCTCTGCCATTGAACTTAAATTAATGAACGGAGCTTTCATAGAGTACCCTCTCTATATAAATATAACTCTGTCTTATTCAAATTAACTTTGAGACTCCCAAATTGTCCTTGGTGCATAGCTATAAACCAGAAATGAGTACAGCATATTGAAATAGATGTCTGGTTGAGAGGAAATACCACCAGAATTACCGAAACTATAAATTCCATTTGGTGTATCCTTTGATCTGTGTTTCATATTCTAAAATAATCAGCTCTGAAATATTTTTTTAATAAGGCAAGAAAAGTATTTTTAATAGCTGAACAAATCACGCGTTGCAGAAGCTGCTGTCTTTGAGATGGCAAATCCTTGTACCATTCTTCCCGATCTGGAGTGAAGAGATACATTGAGAGTTTTCCCCTTTGTGCTTGTCTGCACTGTTATCAAATGCAGGTAGTAAAATAAATTGTAATGAAAAGTGAAACTGTCTGAATTGATGCAGCAGGAGCAAACTTATACATTCACTTCACTTCTTATTTACTGAGATAAAAGTGGATGGGCTTCAGCAGGTGAAAATCACCTCCGTCTCCCTCTGTCTCTGTTTCATGCAAAACCCACTGATCCAAAACAGAGCGGGTAGATCAAGTTTATATTTTGCCAGTCTCAAATCGCTGTTTTCAGAGATTTCAGCACACACAAAACATGATTGCCTGAGAATAACAACAACCTCTATATTTTTTTTCTTGGTTCTTGTAGCATTAAGTTGTATTGCTTTTTTCCTAGACTGTAGAGATGACAGATAATCTCTCAAATGGATTTGATAGCTTTTCATTATTAAAAGCTTTTTTGGCACCCTCCTTCAAGACTGAAGGGAGTTGGTGTCTTGGAAAAGAGAATATTGGACTGTGTTTTAGTAAACCAGCTCAGTGGCTTACTTGGTCAACTCCATTGTCTATGTAACTTGCTTAGTGATTTCTGGTCTAATAGGGATGAGTTTGGTTTCTGGAAGGTTTGTTCCTCCTGTCTGCATGATAGTGTCCATGTCCCCAGTTTATTGTCACATCTTAACCAATTTGACATTCATGCTATCATGAATTTTACCATGCATGTAAAATGGCAGGGGGTTGAGGTACAGTGAAATTTGTGGAGTTGAAAGATAATTTTTATACGTTTTGTGAGGATATTTCTGTCAAGTGGATTAATGAAATAAATGAATTTGGCTTGCTTCCTTTGGCTCAGGTGCAGGGTGTCTTTCCTGCAATCCAACAGCATTACTTTGTGATTCTTTTGGATGTAATGTCTATACAAGTGTGGGATAGCTCAGTCTGTAGAGCTTGAAACTCTAAATATCAGGGCCTTGGGTTCGAGCCCCACATTGGGTGGAAGATTCCTGCATTGCAGGGGGTTGGACTAGATGACCCACATGGTCCTTTCCAACTCTACAGTTCTTTGATTCTATGAAAATGGACAGTAGACTGGATGTACTTAGGTCAAGGCCATATTTTAGGGAGTAGAGGATCTTAGAAACCTTCTCATATAGCAAATTTAATTGCAGACCAAATCAGGCTGATATGAGGGTCATGAAGTGTGCACAGCCATAGGCTACAACACAGTTTCCAAGATTCTTGGCTTACAGTGTTTCTTTATTATGCTTGGAGCCACCGGTGCAGTGCAGATACTGTAAACTGCAACTCCCATCATATCTTACCAATGACCATGGTGGCTGGAGCTGATGGGAGATGTAGTTCAAAACATTTAGAGGGCAACATGTTTGCTTACATCCCTTGCAAATTATCTAATGCTTTGTGAGAATGCCCATGTGGTTGAACAGATCCTGCCCCCACTCTCAGTTGCATATTTCTTTTTCATAGTGAACATATTGACTACCATTCTTTCCAGTCTTACGGAACTAAGGATGGAATTTGGTGTTGCACTGTTAGAAATCAGCTTGCCAGATGAAACAATCCTCCCTTCCCTGTGGACTGTTCTGGGGGTTCTTGTGACCCCCGGAGCCAATTTCAAGGGGGCAGGGGGGAATTCCCATTGCACAAGCAGAAGCCCTTCCTTGGGGCTTCTGCTGATGGGGTTCATTAGGTGAATTCTGCCAATGATCTTCCTTATTTTTTCATACTAGTTTGGGTACTTTATATTTGTGACCAAAAACTTGAGATCATATGCTAGAATGAAAGATTAACGTTTGGTATGACAAGTAATTTTATCCCCATAGGCAATAAAGTGTCTCATATCTGTGACTGACACAAGTTTGTTGGCCTGTCAGTTACAAGTTGATCCCATCCAAATTCAAGTTCTGTCACATTCACTTAATTTTAGTTAATTGTAAGATTAATCTTTTCAGGCTAGGTATCAGTATGCATAATAAGTTGTCTTCCGATAGAGCTGTGGGGAATGAAAACTAGAGAACCTTTCACAACAAGAAGATGATCTCTTCTTTTGACATAGCAAACAGCCTTTGTTTCTCTTTCATTCTTCAGGATCCATGTCTAGAGACTATTGCTAATATCAATATAGTATGCCAACACAATAAATCTTCAGGTTCTAAAAGCCTCTTCTTATCTCATTCTTGTATGCCAGTACATATTTTAGCACTTGGCATGATGTTTTCTAAAGCAGAATCCATTAGTTAGAGGTCAGATTCTTATATTTAGGTTCAATCAAAGAATCTTAGAGTTGGAAAGGGACCCCGAGAGTCATCTAGTTCAACCCCTTGCAATGCAGGAATCTCAGCTAAAGGTGGCCATCTAACCTCTGCTAAAAACCCTCCAAGGAAGGAGAGTCCACCACCTCTCATGGGAGTCTCTTCCGCTGCTGAACAGCTCTTAACTGTCAGAAAGTTCTTCCTGATGCTTAGTTGGAATCTCCTTTCTTGCAACTTGAAGCCATTGCAACATTGAAATAGAAACAGCCAGCCTTTTCTTGCTGCATTTGCTAGAGACAAAGTTTGCCTATTTCAAACTTAACCACATAGCATTTTAAATACACAAACATAACTTTTTGTGTATGTTGAACTTATATCCTTAAGATGAACTTCATGATTTTTCGA